TGTCCAATCCCTGATCGACGGCACTGCCCCCGCCGACGCACCCAACGTGGTCTACATCGACGGGCCTGCTGGCACAGGCAAAACACACATCTACAAAAAGATCTTGCATTATGTCCGCGGCTCCGGTCGTATAGCTCTGGCGGTCGCGATGTCTGGAATTGCTGCCTTGTTATTACCTGGCGGGCGCACAGCCCATTCACGATTCCGCCTACCAGTTCCAGTTCCACTTGAAGGATGCAAATGCAACATAAAACCCCGCAGCGCTGCTGCCCGACTTCTCATGGATGCCGCGGTCATCGTGTGGGACGAAGCACCTACCGCATCACGAGCCATGTTCGAGGCCGTTGACGCTTGCCTGAAAGAGCTGTTGGCCTGCGACAAACCCTTCGGAGGACGCACTATGGTCCTGGGTGGCGACTTCCGCCAAATCCCTCCTGTCCTCCGGTACATCGACCGTGACGCCGTGATTAACCACACGTTGGCCGCGCTATCATGGTGGGGTTGTGACTCCGTGAGCATCTACCGTTTGACCCGCAACATGCGCGCCAGCTTCGACCCCGGATATGCGCAGTTCTGCCTCCAAGTAGGTGATGGAACGTTGCCGCCACCTCCCTTCAACGGCGTCGCCAAAGACCTTCAAGCATGTGTTGTCGAACTCCCTCCCGCAGTCTTGGCGCCATCTGATTGGGATGCCGAGAAGTTGATGCACTGGGTATACCAAGACTTCGACAACGTGCCCGAAGCTCAGTGGTTCCAATATTATGCTTCACGAACAGTCGTAACACCAACGAATGAAACATGCCAACTGCTGAACAAGAAAATGTTAGCCCACCTGGACCCTACGACAGAAATACGCTCGTACAGCCATGACACCGCTTGCACAGAAGTCGACAGCGGAGACACCTATTCACCAGAATTTCTGAACTCACTGGAGACCGGCGGCCTACCACCGCACGAGTTGCGCCTTCGACATGGATTTTTGGTCATCCTTCTTCGCAACTTCGCCCCCCACAAAGGTCTCTGCAACGGCACCCGACTTGTACTCGAGAAGATGCAGAAATACTTTCTGGTAGTGCGAGTTGTGACGGGTCCATACGCAGGTAAGGTTGAACTGCTACCACGCATATGTTGCGATTCCTGCGGCGACTGTGAACTTCCCTTTATCTTGCGCCGACATCAGTTTCCAGTGAAACCCGCTTGGGTCATCACCATCAACAAGAGCCAAGGACAATCGATCTCAGGACGCCTCGGCATTTACCTGCCCGCCCCTGTCTTCGCTCATGGCCAACTTTATGTCGCCATTTCCCGAGGCTCGTCCTTCGACAGCGTACGCTGCGTCGTTGACGACTCGGGGGACGACCGGCAGACGTGCATTGCAAGCGCCACCAAAGGAGGCCCCCACCGTTGCTTCACCACAAACATTGTCGATCGCCAATTGTTGCAGGCGTCTCGACAATCCTCGCGAACCTCTAGCCAGACAGAAACTCATGACAGTGAAGCTCCGCGCCAACAAAATGAGGACAACGCCACCGTAGCGAAAAGCCCGCCAGCGACCGCTCACCCCCCACACATTGACCGCGTTCCCCCCAAAACCGTAGCGCACCCTGCAGGCCAAACGCTGCAACCACCGCCCACCGATCAAGCCGACGTACATGCACTGGGGGCCACGACGAAGCACAGGGATCACACAACGTCCGACGACATTGGCGTGGAAGAAGACAGTGCAAGCAGTATGGCAGCACAAACTATTAAACACTACCACGCACAGGTTGTGCCGCACCTCACTTTCGACGAGGCCGCCGGTCAAGTACATGAGCCTGTCGTATCCCATTCCGCCACGTTGACGCCTCCCCCCCCCATGCACAAGGAGATCTGCGGACGTCGCCCTAAGCGACGCCGCTTCCTTACGGCGAACCACGGCTGTTCCTCAAGCTGTGCGCGCGGCCCGTCCTACTCGACACCCACGGACTCAACTGCCATTGTGTCACCGCCCACATGGTCTGATTCCACCGACCACAACAACGCCGCCAAACGTCGCACAGACGGTCTGCGACGACCCACTTCCAAATCCGGACATGCCACGGATGCTCATCCACGAAAATGGACAATTCAACTTCACCCAACGATGCCGACGCCTGCACCGCTCGAGCCCCTGCCTGCGCCGCCTCCGTGGTACAACTCCGCGGCCACTCGCGCAGTAACAGCACGCGGCGTTCAAGATGGCGCTTCCTGCGGGCTCCACGCGTTCAATCATGTTTTCGCCGCTGCATGCTGCCTGCGACGCCAGCAATTCACTCCTGTTTCCCGCCACAGCTTTGAAACAGCTGCGGTCAGCGCTTCCCTCGGAGACAGTCGGGACGCGCTGATAGATCCCCGCGGAGGCAACTACGACGTTGCCGTGTTGACGACGAACTTCACCAACCACGACATCGCCGTCTTCCCGCTCACATCAGCAGAAGTAGAAGAACGCATGTTTGTCCCCTTCAGCTCATACCATTCGACACATGAAACGTTGACGGTTGCTGCGTACCTGTTACGTTTGCCCTCATACGGAGGCCACTGGATAGCCGTTGTCCCGCAGGCAACCCTCTCTGATATGTTACACTTCCAATGCGACGCTCTGATGTGCGATTCTTTATTCCCAACGCCGCACGCCATGCAGTCTACAGAACTTTCGGACTTGCTGGCCATCTGCGCGTACGAGCAGGCATCGGCCGATGCCCAAAACGGTTCCCGCAGCTGGCAGTGTTTTGTCGCCTGCGTCCGGTGATTTGTCCCGATCCTTTCTTAGCATCATCGACGGTGACCGGGCGTGTTTCACCGCTTGCTCTGAACTTGTCTTCTACTCTCGGCAGGCACACCCTGAACGCCGACATTCTTTCGATAGCTGTCCTTGAAGTGTACATTCCTGCAGCCTTCGTCAATCCACAAAAAAACACTCTTCTTGCATTTGTCGTGCCCGACCAATAGTTCTTCTCAAGGTTGGTGGGCTGCGCGGCCTCGGTGTTAATCTTGAACAGCGCTCTTGCCATTTTTCTGTGTATCGTGCTTCGGGGTTATGCAAATACTAGGGTCTATGCAACGGTGAACGCACGTACAAATACGAACAGTTACGCCAAGCATATGTCTCTGCTTCAGACATGTGCACATGTGCTCGTAGGTACTTGACTGTGCGTATAATGAAACGCGAAACCCAACGATGTCGAATCTCTGTTGCATCCATCTTGGAGCTCCAAGAGGAGCCCCAGAAGGCCCCGCGAAGGCCACAACGGAGCCCCAAGAAAACCCAAGGAGGCCCAAGAGGGCCCCAAGAGAGCCGCAACATCGGTCACGCGAAAGATCTCTCGCGTGACCGATGTTGGTCCCCTCCTTCGGCCTTCTTGGAGCTCCAAAGATGGTCCAATATGGCCCCACGAGATCCCCGAGGGAGCCCCAAGCGAGCCCAAGGAGGCCAAAGAGGGCCCCAAGAGAGCCCCAACATCGGTCACGCGAAAGAGCTTTCGCGTGACCGATGAAGGGCCCCTCTTTCGACCACCTTGGAGCTCCAAGGGGAGCCCAAATTGGCCCCGCGAAGGCCCCAACGGCGGCCCGAAATGGCCCAAGGAGTCCCAATGGGGCCAAAGGGGGCCCAAACATCGGTCACGCGAAAGAGCACTCGCGTGACCGATGCTGAACCTCTCTTGCATCCATCTTGGAGCTCCAACTGGGACCAGATGGCCGCACGAGGCCCCCGAGAGTGGCCGAAGAGGACCAAGAGGACTCCAAGAGATCTCCCTTTCTGGGACCCCTACGTGTGCACCGAGACCGGAGCGATCTACATGCCTGCCAACACTTCCATTGGATGAGTAAAAACGAAATGGGACCACCACTGCAGTGGGGGCATTCCCTTTTGTAGAACATGTAATGTGTTAGGGGCCTATGAAGACGGGGTCCTCCTCCTCCTCCTCCTCCTCCTCCTCCTCCACCTCCTGTTTCCCCTGACTGGGTCAGGCAGGCCTTAGATCGGGATGCATCGCACTTACAGCGCTCCAGAGCGCTCTTGGAGCGCCCCACAGCGCTCTGGAACGGCCGCGTTGCCCGATACGTTCCTTGCAGACCCGCCAGCTCACAGAAATCCTCGATTTATCCCGACCCGATTTTGCCCTGAGTTTGCGTCGTCCTCATACGGTTGACAAGTCCCAGCCCCAATCGCCCCCCAATCGCCCATCGATGGCCGATAGAGCCCCGATAGCCCCACCCCGCCCAGGAACATCCACATGCGCCATCGTGGGCCTCTCGCCGATCTATCGGCGATGTATCGCCGATTCCAGCTCGATGTTTCCCCCCTATCGTTGCCCCCCAATCTCCGAATGGTGCTGGCCCAGGGTATCACTATCTTTTAGGTGCCACTTTGGGAGCTCTTGGGCCCCCTGGAGGCAACATTCGAGGCAAGGTCTTGGAGGATGTGCTCTGCGTTTGCGCTGCCGCGCACATGAGGCGTTCCAAAAAGGGCCTTGCGCTCGAGGATTGAAGGAGTTGGCATGTCTTCCTCAGCGAAAGGCGCCGGGAGGGCGGAAGCTGGCAAAAGTAAAACGAAGCTCGCGGCGCCAGGGAAGCCGGTGGAATCAAAAGATGCGCCCCCCATGAGATGGCAACATGTTTTGCGGCTCAGGGTTTCCAGGATCGCCCGTATCCGTCACCACGGCTGGGGACGACGTTCAACGCAGGCGTAGCCGTCTGGACCAGCCACCGAGCACCGAGCAGGCGGCTGTCTCTTCCTCTCGGCGCTTCCAGACCACAACAGGGGCCTGTGTTGCAGCGCGTCCCCCTTGGAGCTCTTTGGCCCCAGCGGCGGTGTTGCTGCACCGCCGTCCCCTGGGAGATCGCGGATGCAGCCCATCGCGAGTGCTATTACCTGGGTTTCTCGAGGCGTTCCGAGGTTGCGTTGCTTTCGTTGGCCGCGCCCCGCTCGAGAAGCTTCGACATGGGCGCCCAAGGCCCTTGCATCCTTACGGGCCGACTGTACTTGCACACTGCTTCCGGCCGAGCTGAGAGGGCGGGCCCTTTCCCACTGCAGGCGGCTCGTTGAGAGTAGGGATCTTCCGATGCCCAGATCCGACCTCTTCTTTTGGGTGCGCTCCTGCTGCCGCGCGGAGGCCCTCGCCAGCCTAGGCCTCGTCCTGCCCTTCCTCCTCGTCCTGCCCGCCCTCGTCCCTGTCCGTAGCCATTTTGGCTCAAGCCGTCTTGAGTTCAAGGGGCGAATCCAAGTCAGCTCGAGGCGCTTCCAGGGTTGCCAGCCCTGCGACTTTCCCGCTTGGTGACATGGCCGCGGCTCTCAAGGCGAAGTTCTCCGAGCTGGACACGGATGGCAGCGGCGCGATCAGCAAGGATGAGTTTGCGAAGCTACTCAAGAAGGGGAACCCGAGGATCGACGAGAAGTCCATAGAGACTGTCTGGAAAAAACTCGACTCGGACGGCAGCGGGAAGCTCAGCTTCGACGAGCTCGCGAACTACCTTGGCAACAGCGGCGACAAGATGGAGTTCAAGAGTCCAGGTATGTCGCCCGCCTGCCAGACCTTCTGCGATGTCTTCAAGAGCTTGACGTACAAGACGGACGAGGGCCGGGTCGCCTGCGGACACGCCTTCGCAGCCTGCGACCCGAATGGCAACGGGTACGTCTCCCTGGCCGAGGTGGACGGGTGGATCCAGAAAGTGCTGATCACCTACTTCGGGCAGAAGGGCTGCGACGGGGACCCCAAGGAGGAGGGGGCCCGCATCTGGAAGTGTTTCCGCGCTTCCTACATCCGCGCCCGCACCGACGCGAAGGACATCGCCGGCGGCGGGAGCCGCGCGGACGACTACGTCACCGCGAAGGAGTTCCGCCTGCTCTGCACCTACCTCATCCTGTACGCAGCTATGTACGACGCCTTCGCCCTCATCGACGGTGGTGGCGGCAGCGTCGAGGACAAGTCCGGCGACGACCGCAAGATGACGCTGGCGGAGTGGAAGCAGGGCTAGAAGACCGTCGCGAAGCATGGTTTCGTCGGCCTGAGCGACGCTGCCAAGCTGGACGCTGCGGGCGCCGAGGAGGTGTTCAAGAAGATGAATAACGGCAAGGACGCCGAGGGCAAGGAGTACGGCAACGACAGCGTGGTGATGCTGGCGGAGTTTTGCGCGTACGTGGAGAAGTGCGAGATTGACGCGGGGACCCCGTTCGGCCAAGCACTGGGCGCATGACCTGGGCAGCGGCGCCGCTCTTCTCGGGCGCCCCCCTGCTTCCTCACCCTCCTCGTCTCCTACTCCACCCTGAACCTGATCCGACCTCCCTCCTCGAAGGAAGGGTCTCTCCAGCGCGCGCATAATGTGGCGCGCGCTGTTGATTTCACTTGGCCCAGCTTGCAACGAATGACGCGGCCTGTTTGGACCCGCGCCGTCCGCACGGCATGGCGTGCCGACTTCTCCGCCCTTTTCCCCAGTCCCCGCCTCAACCCTTCGTCTTCCCTTTTGTCTCGCTCTCCTCGCCCCGCCCTCCCCCCTCCGCCCCCTCCCCTTCCGCGCCTCCGTCTCCCCCCCCACCACCCCTCCCCCTCCTCTCGACAGGTGTTTGGTTAATATCGTATTTGCTTTGAGGATGTGGCCCGCTCTCGGACAACTGCTGGACTCTGGTGACTGAACACCTCCGCAGGCTGCCCCGCATTTTGCAGTGCTTCTCCGATGATCGCCCCATCCCGGAGTCTGGGTTCGGGCGCCCTCCACCGCGCCCCTCCAGCGGGCCGGGTAATCCTCCCCCCTCCTGTCCCCTGACGTTGGCATTGGGGGCGTGGCTCACCCTCCTCCTCCATTCCTTTTTCCTTAGATAAAGACAAAGCTCCATGTCGTGCCCCGAGACCAGTCGAAAGTGCGGGCCCGGCGTTTCGCTTGAGACTTCCTCACCGTTTATGGCCCTGGAATGGAAATAATGACCGTAGCTTCACTGATGGAGGGCGGGTGGTTTTCAAAATGTGGCTCTCGCCTGAGCGTCGCGCACTCCAACCTTCAACCTTGACCACTCCAACATTCAGATCTCCAACCACAAGCACCAGACTGCCCACCTCCACTCGTGGGGCCATTTCGGGCTCCTCTCGGAGCACCAAGAGGAGCCCACAGAGGGGCCCAACATCGGTCACGCGAGAGCTCTTCCGCGTGAGGCCCCCGTGGTCACCCGTAGAGCTGTCTCGAGCACTCCTGGGGCCTTCTTGGGGCTCTCTCGGAGCAGTCTTGGGCCCGTGTTGTGGGGTGCTTTGCGCCATAAGCGACCTCCGGAGGCGACGTAGCGTTGACAGGACGAAAGCTCGCAAGCCCGGGAGACCCTGCCAGGGTCGGCGGTTCTTTAGCGAAGAGTTAGTTCCAGCAGCCTTGAGGCGAACGCCTGGATGGGCGCGGGACTTCTCCTCAGCCACCGCACCAGACACTGACTGGCCTCTGATGTTGTGCAACCTGGCGGTCGCAGTGACGTACGCAGCGCCAGGGGTAACCCGAGCGTGCCTAGCTTATCTGTTCGCCTTTGGCACAGTCCGCCACAATGCCCAGAACGCGGGCATACTGCTTGGAGGCGTTCGCGCGTCAGTTCTCCGCCTCCGCCCATCCACGAAATGATGTTTAGGGCGCTTCATACCTATTGTGACTGGCTTCGACTTCAAAGCTACCAGAACGCCCTTGCTTCGCTTCTACGATGCGATGGCGGACCAGACAGTAGAGTGCCTTGCTGACCGGACCAGCGAGCTTCGAGAGAGCAACGCCGCTTCGCGATTTCCCCCGCCCCACAACGTCACACACACACACACGCGCGCACGACCTCCCACCGACACTTCAGGTCGAACGACGATGGTTGGGACAATGTGGCTTTTCCTTCCGTTTCCGAGTGCCCACGCCGGACCACCTGCGTGGAAAAAAACACGGTGGGCCACATATACCAAACAATTGAATGTCTCATGCGCGCGCACACCTCGAGCGGGCTGCGGATTCACTATCCTTACGGTAGGTCTTGCAACGCTTGCCGCGTCGAGAAGATTAACCCGGCGCTCTCAGTCACGCTGGCGCAATCCCGCAAACCCCAAACATCACAAACTCACGTCAGCCAAACTCAAAACATATATACACTCCGACCACTTACGTGTGCGTATACCATGCACTACTACAGATATGGCATCGCGCTACACCTTGCGTCGGCGGGGGCGGATTGCCAGATAACTGGCCGCGCTGAGAGCTGTCGCGCGCCTTCTGTCGCGTGGCGGCTTGGGCAGTGAGGAAACGGAAGATACGGTGGCGGTGGCGGTGGAGGCGGCAAGTGGGGAAAGAGGGGGAGGAGGAGGGAGAGAAGAACGAGGGGGGGGAGGAGGACGCAGGATTCAGGCAGGAGGACTAGCGAGCGGGACAACAGGGACGAGGTCATGATCATGAGAGAGAAGGGAGGGGGCAGAGGGGCATCCCCAGGCAAGCTACATATATTCTCATATCGCCATCCCTTGCGCAGGGAGCCGCGCGCAGCTGGCACGAGAGTCAGTAACGCCGTTCTTTTCCCCAACGTACTCTTGCTCCTCCTCCTCCTCCTCCTCCTCCTCCGCGTCCTCCTCCCCCCCCTCCTCGCTCTAACCGATCAGGGCGGTTGGAACTTGCCTGCTTTGTCAATGCCACGTGCGGGCTTGAGAGAGCAGATCCTTTCCTGGACTCAGCTTCGGTCGTGGAAATCACGTTTCGCTCATATGTTCCCCCAATGTATCCAATTCACCCGGAGGTCGGGATTTCGGCTGGTGCCCTGTTGGTGCCGCCTCGTTGCCGCCTCGTGCGCTGGGTGAGTATGTCGGGGTATCGACTGGTGCCCCGTTGTTGCCGCCTCGTTGCCGCTTCGTACTCCGAGCTTACACGACATTGTCTTCACCACGTAGCTTTCACGACATTGTCTTCCCCACGTAGCTTACGCGACATCACTTTTACCACGTAGCTTACACGGCGTACATTACACGGCATTTTTCCTATGTCACATAGCTTGCGTTCCAGACTTTTCACCCCCAGTACACGCCGCTTAGCTTACACCACAGAGCTTGCACCGCACATATTCTCCTGCATGTTTTACACCGCGTAGCTTTCCCCTCCACGGTGCATTAACGATCTGCTTGGGGTTCACGCTGACTAGCATACATGTAGACAAGAGGTACCTGTATATTCAAGATGGAAAGGACGGGTTCGGAGGGGTAGCAAGGGAGGGAGGGATGGGACAGGTGGGAATGGGATTGCGAGGATGAAAAATGGGACGGAAGGGTGTGGGCATTCCACCCCGTTTCAGTATCGTCAGCACGTGTTGCTGCACAGGTGTGTTCTTTTCAAGCCGGGGCCCTGAGCAGTAGAGGAGCGCATGCTTCACGCACAGAGGCATTTGCCAGCGCAGCGGGGAGAGGCAGCTGACCTGGAGAGCCTCGAGCCTTGCGGAAAGGAAAGAGGAGAGAGAGAAAGAGAGAGAGAGAGAGAGAGAGAGAGAGAGAGAGAGAGAGAGAGAGAGAGAGAGAGAGAGAGAGAGAGAGAGAGAGAGAGAGAGAGAGAGAGAGAGAGAGAGAGAGAGAGAGAGAGAGAGAGAGAGAGAGAGAGAGAGAGAGAGAGAGAGAGAGAGAGAGAGAGAGAGAGAGAGAGAGAGAGAGAGAGAGAGAGAGAGAGAGAGAGAGAGAGAGAGAGAGAGAGAGAGAGAGAGAGAGAGAGAGAGAGAGAGAGAGAGAGAGAGAGAGAGAGAGAGAGAGAAGAGAGAGAGAGAGAGAGAGAGAGAGAGAGAGAGAGAGAGAAAAGAGAGAGAGAGAGAGAGAGGGGAGGGTACGGGAAAAGAGGGAGGGAGGGGAGGGAGGGAGAAGGCGAGAGGGCGACGGGAGCTGGAGTGCACCGCGCACGGGCGTGCCCGCCCGCTCCGTGGTCAGGGGCAAGTGGCGCCCTGCTGTGGGCCCCCGCGGGCCCTTGGGCAGGGCCTGCCGGGGGAGGGGGGTGCCGGGCCCCGGGGCTGGGCGTGCAGGTGCCGCCCCCGGCTGCCGTGGAGGTGGGCGGCGACCGCCGTGGGCGTCCGGCGGCCCGTGCGGAGCGGCCCGGGCGCATGCCCGGCAGCCGTGTGCTGGCGGCGTGCCAGGGCAGATCCTCGCCGCTCCTCCTCGCTCCTAAGTGCCCGCCCCCGCGTTCCCTCCTCCTCGCCCCTAAGTGCTCGCTCCTCCTCGCTCCTCGCTCCTGAGTGCCCCCTCCTCGCGCGCCCGGCCCCTCCTCATCCTCCTCCGTCCTCCTCGCTCTCGCGCGCCTGCTGCTCCTTCCCCCTCCTGCTCCCCCATCGTCGTCGTTTTTTTTCTGGCCTCCAGACGTCCAAGGGCGCCCCCAAGAGGCCCCAAGAAGCCTCCAACATGCGTCCCAAGAGGGCCCCTCGACGCAAAAATTCGCCCATTCCGTTCGTAAAACGTACATTTTCAACAAAGTTGTCTTTTGGGCTTTCCGACGTTACAGGACGGCCCAAGAGGCGCCCAAGACCGCCCCAAGACGGCCCAAGAAGCTTCCAAGAGGGCCCCAGGACAGCCCAAGAGGGCCCCAAGACGGCCCAAGAGGCGCCCAAGATGGCCCAAGAGGGCCCCAAGACGGGCCCAAGAGGGCGCCCCGAGGGAACCCCACGTGGGCCCAAGGAGGCCCAAGAGGGACCCAAGAGAGCCCCAAGAGAGCCCCAACATCGGTCACGCGGAAGAGCTCTCGCGTGACCGATGTTGGGCCCCTCAGTGGGCTCCTCTTGGAGCTCCGAGAGGAGCCAAAGATGGCCCCACGAGGGCCCCGACGAGACCCCAAGAGGACCCAAGCAGGCCCAAGAGGGACCCAAGAGAGCCCCAGCATAGGTCACGCGGAAGAGCCCTCGCGTGACCGATGTTGAGCCCCTCTTTGGGCACCTCTTGGAGCTCCAAGAGGGGCCCAAGATGGCCCCACGAGGGCCCCGAGGGAGCCCCACGTGGGCCCAAGGAGGCCCAAGGAACCCCAAGATGGCCCCAACATCGGTCACGCGGAAGAGCTCTCGCGTGACCGATGTTGGGCCCCCTCTTTGGGCTCCTCTTGGTGCTCCGAGAGGAGCCCAAGATGGCCCCACGAGGGCCCCGTCGAGACCCCAAGAGGGCCCAAGGAGGCCCAATAGGGCCCCAAGAGGGCCCCAACATCGGTCACGCGAAAGAGCTCTCGCGTGACCGATGTTGGGCCCCTCTGTGGGCTCCTCTTGGAGCTCCGAGAGGAGCCCAAGGTGGCCCCACGAGGGCCCCGACGAACCCCAACAGAGCCCAAGAGGGCCCCAAGAGCGCCCCAACATCTCCTCTCCTTCCTCCTCCTCCCTCCTCTGCATCTTCCTCCTCCTCCTCCTTCTCCTCCTCCTCCTCCTCCTCCTCCTCCTCTTCCTCCTCCTCCTCCTCCTCCTTCTTCTCCTCTCCAGGGGAATGAAAACCAGAGGATAGCTCACGGAGAGCCCAAGCACCCTCTTGTTGCATCCATCTTGGCTTCCAGATGGAGCCCAAGAAGGCCCCAAGGAGGCCCCCCAGGAGACCCCGGACGTCCAAGGGCGCCCCCAAGACGCTTCGCGTCACCAACTTCTTCTCGCAACGATTCCTGGGTTTGTGACTCGACAGAACCTAAGCGCGCGCGAAGCGCGCGCGTGGTTCTAGTTTTATATATGTCATTTTGGCTCAAGCGGGCTCCAGCCAATTTGGCTGAAGAGCTCAAGCAATCAAACTATACTGTTCCAGGCAGTATATTTTCGTGTGTCGCCGGGGCGGTCTGCCGCCACAGTTTTCACACTTCACTGTATTGCTTTTTCTTTGCTCACCAGTACGTCCTGCATGGCCCGCATTCCGGGCATCCAGAAACCTGCGTTCGAGAAGGGTGACAAAGAGACCTTGGTGCGTTTGAGTGCTCGCCGTGCTGCTGCGCTTTCCCCTGAGAGCAAGCGGCTTGCAGACAGATTCTCTCATGGATCAGAGCCAGGGCGTGGGCGCGGGCGATTTTGCACCAGCTCCCGCCTTCCCGGGCATGGCGAGCGGTGCGGCAGAGCCGAGCGCTGCTTTTGCATGTGCTCCCGCCTCCGGCGATGCATGCAATGCCCTTCGGGTGGCGTGCATGCGGCTCCCGGAACCGGCTCTTCGGGTGGCAGTTCCGGTGGTGCATCAGGCGCCGGTTTCGTCCCCCTCACTCCGGGCGCGGGTGTCGTCTCCCCGGTTGCGGGCGCGGGTTTCGTCCCCCCGCAGGCACCTGCAAGGCTTAGTTATGATATTCCAACTTTACATTATGACTTTCCAACTTTGCACTCTGTGCGAGGAGGAGGAGGAGGAGGAGGAGGAGGCGATGGAGAAGGGAGGGAAGGAGGAGGAGGGAACAAGGAGAGGAAGGAGGAGGAAAGGAGAGGAGAGGGGGAGAGGGGGAGGAGGAGAAGTGAATTGTGAGGCAGTCTCAGGCAGCCACGCCCTATACAAGTGATTTGGAGCCTCTTCTTTTTACAAGAGGTTACACACAGTGCACACGATCCAGGCCATCTCTATAGCTTCTCGCATTATTTTGCAACCCTATTTGTGGTTTGTAGTGGCTGCAGGCGCTACTTTACATTAAAACAGGTGGGTCGCTAGATTACTTGTAACCAGCGCGTTTCCACTCTCTTCCTTGTTTCCCAACCTTTTCCCAAGTTTTCGGGTCTTCAGAATCGCAAGCGTGATGGACCCACGAACCTGGAAAGGGATATAGACATGTGCAGATTGGTCACGTTTTCACGATATCCAACTGGGCGACACATCACGAAACATCCCACGAGACACCCCGCGAAACATCCCAGGAGACACCTCACGAAACAACCCACGACACACCTCACGAAACATTCCACGAGCACCCCGTGAAACATTCCACGAGACACCCCACGAACAGGCAACCACTCAACCAGACACCCCACGAAACAGTCCAAGGGGGTGCGACTGGGTGTGGTCGTGCTGGGGTGTGGTCGTGCTGGAGTGTCTGGGGTGTGGTCGTGCTGGGGTGTGGTCGTGCGTGGGGGGTGGTCGTGCTGGGGGGTGGTCGTGCTGGGGCGTGGTCGTGCTGGGGCGTGGTCGTGCTGGGGCGTGGTCGTGCTGGGGTGTGGTCGTGCTGTGGTGAGGTCGTGCTGGTCGTGCTGTGTGTCGTCGTGCTGGGGTGTGGTCTTGGTGGGGTGGGGTCGTGCTGGGGTGTGGTCGGGCTGGTCGTGCGTGGGTGTGGTGGGGTCGTGCTGGGGTGGGGTCGTGCTGGGGTGTGGTGCTGGGGTGTGGTGTGCTAGGGTGGGGTGCTGGGGTGGGGTCGTGCTGGGGTGTGGTCGTGCTGGGGCGTGGTCGTGCTGGGGCGTGGTCGTGCTGGGTCGCTGGGGTGGGGTCGTGCTGGGGTGGGGTCGTGCTGGGGGGTGTCGTGCTGGGGTGGTCCGCACCCTGTGATTTATCGATCGGGTCGTGCTGGGGTGTGGTCGTGCTGGGGTGTGGTCGTGCTGGGGTGTGGTCGTGCTGGGGTGTGGTCGTGCGTGCTGGGGCGTGGTCGTGCTGGGGCGTGGTCGTGCTGGGGTGTGGTCGTGCTGGGATGTGGTCGTGCTGAGGTGGCCCGCACCCTGTGATTTATCGATCGGGATTTCAAAAACAAGCGTTTCGCCTGAGACATCCTCAAATTTTAATCCGCCGGCCTCCTTCGACCTCGATATTTATCAGGGAAAGAATCCGCCGGCCTCCTTCAAGTTGGGCACGGGGGGACATTGTTTACATACTAAAAGAGAACCCTGGGCCTATGCCTTTTCCGGGAAAACCTTCCTCCTCTCCTCTCTCCTCCCGCCTCCGTCCTCCATCCTCCTTCCTCCCTCTTCCCTCCTTCCTCTTCTCTACCCCCTACTCCCTACACCCTCCTCCTTACCCCCATTCCCCCCCCTCGTACCTCCATCCTCCATCTCTCCCATCCCACCCCCTCCACAGTTACTTGATATGAACATTTTTCTCCCCATCCACCTCGAAGTTGATGAAGAAAGAGACCCTCGACCAACTCTGCATACAGATTTTCGCACACAGGATTTCCCATATGGTTTTCCACGTGAGGCGTTCACCTCTGCAGTTATTCCATATACCCCTCTCAGGGTCCGCTCCGCCGTCCCGATCTGTTCTAAAGGCTTCGCCCCCGCTGCTGACCAACCATATATGAATACATCTCTAGACTCTTGTATGCCTCTGGGGGGCCTATGGGGGCCTTTTGGGGGCCTCTTGGAGGCCTCTTGGGGCCTCGTGGGGGCTTCTGGGGGCCTCCGGGCCCATCTTGTGGCCTTTGGGGCCGTCTTGGGCGCGTCTTGGGCCCCCCTCTTGGGGCCGTATTGGGGCTCTCTTGGGCCATCTTGGACCATATGAATACTTCTCCCCTCCCTACACTGAAACTGTTGTGTGCGTACTTGCACACGTGCATCCACACATGATGTGTGTGCTCATACTGCTACCAATCTGCACTTTCGGTCGTGAGAGCAACGTTCACAGCTGGCTCACAGGGCAACTAGCGCTGAGTGCAGCACTCGTCTTCAGACTCGTGCTCAGAGTCAGGGAAAGGAGCACGGATCAGGCCAGAGCTAGAACTATTGCTAGGGCCGAGCACCCACCGGCGCACATCAGACTGCTGCACGCCAAGCTCAAAGAGATCTAGGAGTGATTTTAATTGTTTAGGCTTGTGTATTCTGCACCTGCTGCGAGGATCAGGGAAGAGACAGGGGCAGATCTGAGTGAAGAGGTTGGTCAGCGGGGCCACCGCCCCCACCCCATCTCATTAATGTCCGCCCCCATCCCCCCTCTGCTGATTCTCCACAGATGCAGAACTACCAGCCAGAGCAATTATAATCATGCACAACCTGTGTCGCGAACTGGTTTCTTGTTGTGCTCATTCGCTTCCTCTGGCTCTTTCTCCTCGCGGAGGCGCTTCAGGGCTGCGGACTCCTCTTTCTTCAGGCAGTTCATTTTGTCATCAAACGTCTCGGTCTGGGCATTTTTTTCGCTGGTACTGTCCACCTCCTGCTGTAGCGCCTTCACCAAATCCGGGCCCACGCCCTGCTCAAGCCATTCCTTCGCTTCAGCATCGCTCAGCTTCTGCATCGCTCAGCCTTGTGACTGCAGTGCTCTTCGGGACAGCGTGTGTATCTGAGAAATCTAAACCTCGCGCCTTGAGCCTGACCAGCGGAAGGGATGAGGCATGTCAGCTGTAGGCCTCAAGTAGTTCCAGGGTGAAGCAGGTGAAGTTTCATTGGCCAGAAATGCGTCGGATGGCTGTGAGGTATTTGTGTTTTGTGTGATGACTTTTCGATTGTGGACGAAACGTGAGCAGCAGCAGTGGCTTCTCTTGCGGCTGATGCAAGAAAACTCATTGTATACGTTCTACCCAATGCACTACAACAGAATGCTTATCACCCCATTGGCACAGCCACATCCAAAATCTCAAGGTGTGTGTATGTGTGTAGTGGTTGGTGTCCCCATCTTCCCCTTCATATGTCTAGCTGGCCAGGCAAAACTCAGCACGTTGCGCTTCATGGCTCGCTTAGGCGCCTGCGCTGCTGCTGCTGCTGCTGAAAACGAGCGCCGAGGCCGGCGGGAGCGTCACTGAGCGGACAAGCACCACCCTCGGCGCAACAGGCATCAAGCCTTTGCGAGACCACTTCACCCCCCAAGCGACCTCAGACTCAGACGTCGCCCACGAAGAGGCTGGGAGCAAGGCTCCGAACTTAGTCTGTGGTGTTTTGCCATTCTCAGTCTGCTCTGGCTTGGCACTGCCGATCATCAACTCCTTTGGCATGCTGTATGCCACTCCACAACGCAGCTCCAAGTCGAAGCATCCCAGTGTTCCTTCGACAGCTTTCTCTACCATGTCATGGTAAGCGACAATTGCTTTGGCTGGGTTTGACACCCGAACTTCGTCAAGAACGCTTCCCACTGCAACCATCTTGTTGTGGTGGATGACCTGTGACTTCTCGTTCACCAGGCGGTAGAGAATGTCTGTTGCCGGATTCATCTCCTCAATGGCGTCTTTTTTGTTTCCTTGCTGCTGCTTGCCACCAGCCACGTGCTTGAAGCGACCAGTGCCAAATAGTGCAAGAGTAGTGTGCTTCTGCAGCTCGACAACCTTGTCGCCAGGGTTGACAAGGACGATCTCGTTCTTCTTGTCGCTGAACACCTGCAACTCTAAAGCCTTGGCGCGGCCTGAACCCACAGTGCACTGAGCCAGAACTGACCCTTTAAGCTCAGCGATGGGCACGATGAGCTGCGTTGTCTCCGCCTTCACTGCATCTGGCGAGGGAGCCCTTGGCGTGGTAGGTTCCACCTTGGGCCGCTTTACCGGGGTAGCAGTGTTGTCATCTCCGTTGGGCCTCTTCAAGGACAATGTAGTTGCCGCTGACACTGGCCTCACATCTACACCGAACTTTTCCTGCACACAGTCCAACGCGTCGTTGAACAACTGCTGTATGTCAGTGTCAGCATGGTCTGACCACTCCTTGTAGATGCTCTCGATTATCTGGACCTGCTTGATGTTGGAACCCTCAGGGGCATCCTTCCATGACAAAGTCTGGAGCACTGGCTCTGGTGGGAGAGCAAGCAGCACATCTGACGGAGGCTTCTCTGCCATGGGCTTCTCACTGTTGCGCCTGGTAAGCTTGCCAGCTAAGAAAAGCGCAGTGACCTCATCACTCGCGCGCTCCATTGCGCACTCTGTTTCATCAGCACTGGCGCATCGACCGCAGAAGTAGACTGGGATCTTGAACTCAGAGAACTGGTTGATGTATGCAACCAGCCCGTCCCCCACGTGCACGTTGAGGTCATGGAAGATGATGGCAGCCGTAGTTCGAACAGCATCTGAAGGCAGTGCCAAGATGGTGCCCTGTAGGAGTGACTCGTAAGCCGGCGTGCCAATCTGCCCGAACTTCTTCCCACGGCTCATGTGCCCATACCCACCGGGACTGTTGTCGATGGTTGCCGGGAGCGCGTCCTCAGACATGTCTTCGCATACAACCATATCTGCTGCGCTGACGTGCATCGCTGGTGGTGTCGCATTATCCTTGATGACAGGCACGGTCTTCCACATCGATTTGTGGGCCTTCGCTGTGTATGGGGAAACCACTCGACCATGGTAGTTGAGCGGGCGCTCGTCCCTCTTGTCGTTGTGCGCTCCAAATCTCAGCTGGAAGGGCACGTCAAAAGCAAGGCGATGCTCACCCAATTGCTGCAACGCAGAAGTCTCAGTCAACCACAGCATGTTCTGTTTGTGGCTGAACATCGGCATGAGGATGAGACCCATGTTGTGTGTCTGGGACTCGCTCATGACCGCACCGATCATGCTGGCCTGCGTTTTCTGATCAAAGGAACTCACTGTGCATGGAGCCACCCAGTTCAGCACGCAGACTGAGACAATGTCACCAGTCGCTGATCCAATAGCCTTCCCAATCTTCTCTTTGAAGTTCGTGTATTGCGAATGCCACTCCTCAGTATTGCCACCAGTAATGATCATCACATGCTCCTTGAGAAAGTTAGATGCCACTTTGGTAGCAGCGTGTACGCGCTCTTTCCGCCACTCGTTGACCTGGTGGTATTGCGCAGACACTCTGTCCTTGCACTTGATGCAGTGGTTGACGTAAACCTGCATGTCGTAGTTGATCTTCTCGATGGTGAGCTCACAAGTGGCCTTTTGGATCTTTGTGGCCTCCACGTTCAGCTGGCTCTCTTTCTTCGCGATCTGTGGCGCTCCGTGCGAAATCTGGGATTCCAAGATCTCCTTCAGGACACTGATGTCAGCCATTATGAAGGTCTCGCTTTTTTCTGCCCACGCTGTGCGCAACTCCACGTCAACAGTAGAGTCATTCGCTGCCCAAGCATTGAGGAACGAAGCTGTTATTGACGGCTCAAGCGCCGGGTGCATCTCGATGGCAGTGTTGGTGATGTTTTGACACAGCGCAGCAATAGAGATGTAATCTTCAAAGGTAGCCTTGTCCAATGGACGCCTGGTTGTACTCAAACGTGAAGCCCACACACTGGACAGATGCCGGAAGACTAACTTGATAGACTCTTGAGTCACCATCGTACGTGTTTGCCAGGATTTCGTAACCATTTTAGCCTTGAAGCCAACAGTAAGCCTCTTCGTGTTGAGAGTATCGTCAGCGAATGGGGAATGTTGCCAGCCATATTGGCGAATGATGTCAAGCAACATGGCCTGCACCTCGTCTGGCAACTTCATGACAGTCACGAGGCTCTGGTGCTTCGCGCCCACAATCTTGTCAGCTTTAGTTGAAACAGCGTTCCACTTCTGGATCATGACCTCTGGCGTGTCGCCCCCCTTCTTCTGCAAGATCCTGAAGGTGCCTAACCAGGACCCCACAGATGGGGCTCGCCGTATGCTGCCCCGGGAACTCATCTTGGCATTGAAGATAGCAACTTCGGACAGCGAGCTCAGATCTAGGTTGTGCGCTGCCAGGCTCCGACACGTGTTCCAGATCACCGGGTACGAATGCTCCACGTAGATGTCAGACATGACACAGAGCAACATGATGGCATGGAGAGTGATGATGCGTGCCTGTCCTTTCGCACACCCAATGGACAACAATGTGATGCACTCCTCATCTTGAAGCTCCTCGATGCCATAAGCCATCTTGAACTTCTCCCCTGGGACGTCGAACTCCGGAGGCTGCCACAGCAGCACAGGCTCAGCGCTCGAGTTGAACCCGTCCTTGATGATCTCCTCGCATATACGAGCGCACACAGAAGCCTCAGGGGCCTCCTTCGGGAACATGCCCTCTTTCCACCCCAGCATTCCCAAGTGAACGAACACTGGGGTCTTCTCAGCATACTCGTTCCGATTCACCGGCGTGCTGTTGCGCTTGGTCAAGTAGATCACGTCTGGAACTGATGGGAGTATGTCCTTGACCAAGCAGTCCACGTACTCTGATACCATCTCTGGAGTCGGGAGCATACTGTTGATGAACTTGAGGGGGTCGTTGTGGTCCTTGATCATTTGATTGAACGCGTTCATGAGTTTCCCAGCCGCCTCAGCAGGCGCAAGGTTGAGCTGGCGCCCCGGAGAGCGGAAGTTCATTGGCGTCCATCCAACAGTAGGAGTTGTTAAGAAAAGGTCGCCCTCCACCTTGGGCTCAAGTTTCTCTTGTACGTCCATCTTGGGGGCCAGTAGTGGTCGTCGAGCCCAAATGGCTACCAATGAGAAGGATGTCCTTTCTCCAGAAAAATTGACTTCTGGCAGTGGCAAACGCAGCAGAACCCATCGACCAGGGCCAGAGAGACAGGGGCCAAAGGGCCCCCCAGGAGGCTCAAGCGGGCAGCTGACGCGCGACTTTGGACAGCCAGAGTTGGTGATATCAGTAGGGTAACAACGATGAGTTCTGTTTTAATGTTTACCCTAATGTATGATTAAAGTATTAGTGCAATTTGAATAGTTTGCCTTGTCAGCCACAGCTGACCATTGGCGCCTCAAGTTAGCGTTCAGTGCTCTATGATATGTGCTGTATGGATGGTGCCCTATGGTTGGTCCTTGATGATTGGTGTTTTTGTACCCCATAGATTGCACTCCATAGGTTGCACCCCATAGGTTGCACCCCATAGATTGCACCCCATAGATTGCACCCCATAGGTTGCACGCCAAAGAGTGCACCTTGTAGGTTGCACATCACCAATATTTGAGGCCCGCGCGCCGAAGGGAGGAAACGTCCTTCATGCGCCACACATGGTGTTTGTTCAAAATTCAACAAAACAGGGGTCCCAACGTCAGCCCCCCCGTTTCGACGGAAATCGGGCGAAATCGGTCGAAACATGGCCCGTGAGGGCGAAATCAACGAAACAGGGGGGCTCACGTCAGACCCCCTGTTTCGACGGAATCGTTGTTTTTGGGCATGTTTCGACGGAAATCGGGCGAAATCGGTCGAAACAGGGGGGCCCACGTCAGACCCCCTGTTTCGACGGATCGTGTTGTAAGGTGGTATAACCATATGGGGCACCAAGCATTCCAATCCTAGTGTTCTAGCTGCTTCTATCTCAGCGTCCTCATCGACAGGCAGGGGCTGGCTGCGTGCATCGGCGGAGGGAGGCTCTGGAGAACTGCTACTACTCTCTATGAAGCCCGCGCGTCCTAATTCGGAATTAGGACCCGCGCGTCCTAATTCAGAATTAGGACGCAGCCTCAGAGGCCCAGGTGCTGTTTGGGCCCTCTTGGGGCCGTCTTGGGGCCCTCTTGGAGCCCCCTGCGGGCCTCAGGAACGCTGGAGGCTGAGGCCCCAAGAGGCCTCAAAGAGCTCCAAGAGGTCCCAAAGGGGGGGGCCCAAGATGGGCCCAAGAGGGCTTCCAGGCGGCTCTCGGAGAGCCCAAGAAGGCCCCCTGAGGGCCCAGGCAATTATGTACCAGCGGACTACGAGGCTTTACGGCCCAGAAAACATGATGGACCCACGAACCCGGAAAGGGATATAGACATGTGGAGCATGGGCACGTTTTCACGATACCCAACGGGGCAACACCCCACGAAACATCCCACGAGACACCTCACGAAACATCCCACGAGACACCTCACGAAACATTCCGCGAGACACCTCACGAAACATTCCACGAGACACCCCGCGAAACATTCCACGAGACACCCCACGAAACATTCCACGACGACAGGCAACCACTCAACCAGGCGGTGTGGTCGTGCTGGGGAGTGGTCGTGCTGGGGTGTGGTCGTGCTGGGGTGTGGTCGTGCTGGGGGGTGGTCGTGCTGTGGGTGTGGTCGTGCTGGGGGTGCTGGGGTGTGGTCGTGCTGGGGTGTGGTCGGTCGTGCTGGGGCGTGGTCGTGCTGGGGTGTGGTCGTGCTGGGGTGTGGTCGTGCTGTGGTGAGGTCGTGCTGGGGTGTGGTCGTGCTGGGGTGTGGTCGTGCTGGGGTGGGGTCGTGCTGGGGTGTGGTCGTGCTGGGGTGTGGTCGTGCTGGGGTGGTCCGCAATTCATCGATCGGGTCGTGCTGGGGTGTGGTCGTGTGGGGTGTGCTGGGGTGTGGTCGTGCTGGGGTGTGGTCGTGCTGGTCGTGTGTGGTCGTGCTGGGGTGTGGTCGTGCTGGGGTGTGGTCGTGCTGGGGCGTGGTCGTGCTGGGGCGTGGTCGTGCTGGGGTGTGGTCGTGCTGGGGTGTGGTCGTGCTGAGGTGTCCCGCACCCTGTGATTTATCGATCGGGATTTCAAAAACAAGCGTTTCGCCTGAGACATCCTCAAATTTTAATCCGCCGGCCTCCTTCGACTTCGATATTTTCCAGGGAAAGAATCCGCCGGCCTCCTTCAAGTTGGGCACGGGGACATTGTTTACATACTAAAAGAGAGCCCTGGGCCTATGCCCTTTCCAGGAAAAAGTTGGGCTCGGAGGCCCAAGAGGACCCCTCGGACAAAAACGCAGGATCCTGTCATTTCACGGGCCCAGACAAAAACACAGGATCCTGTCATATTACAGGGCCAGACAAAAACACAGGATCCTGTCATTTCACGGGGTCCCGTTTTAACCCGCATGGCCCCCCCAGCGCCCGTCAATGGAATGTCCTTCGGCCCAGATGGCGCTCGCCCATGGAATGCCCTTCGGCCCCCCCAGCACCTGCCCATGGAATGCCCTTCAGCCCCAGTGAGGCCAACCAGAGACCCCAACATACAAGAGGCCTCAGACTGACAACCCAGGCACGGTGGCAGGATGGGCCGAAGGCCACTAGGATAGGTCAGCGCACTTTCCAATGATGGTGTTTTTTTTTCCTGCAGGTCTCTGCATGGCAATATGGAGGAGGCTGCCCCTATCCATGCCCACAGTACAAAGCACTGAATCACATACTGAGCCTCTAGTCGTGCTCAGCGCGCATATGCGCGGACACAATTGGCGATGGCCCAGCAAAACTCCGGAGGGTATTTCTCACAATGCGTGCTAAGCCGGATGCCCCCCTCAGACCCTTGTAGTGATAAGTGTTTCTTGAGCCCCCCACTCAGGGGGTACAATGTCTTGCACGCGCACGTTTTGCCAGAGAAGTGCTCCACGATTTGGGCCATGTTGGTCAGCAATTTTGTGCGTTTCTTGACGGGGTACTTGTGGATCGGACTCTTCATGCCGAAGCGGCAGAAGTCAAACTCTACAATCTTCCCACCATGATTGGCAACAATGTCTTTTGTAGAATCAAGATTCCAACTTTTGGCAGAACTGGGGTGTTCGTGCACAAAGCCATCATTTCGGGCCGACTGCATTCGGCAAACAGTCATTCCACAATCATACAACTCTGTTGCCTCGTTGTGCTTCTTCAAGTATTCCTCCTGGCTCATCTTTTTGTAGTTCCACATGTATGTAAATGCAGAGAAGAATGTGCACGGAGAACATGTAAAGACGACACGAGGCCGGCGGCGCTCGATCTCCAAGAAAAGCCATGCCCGATTTTCAGCTTTTCCCAAATCATGACGAGGATCCCCAGTGACAACATCGACTGACAAGCCTGGGCGTAGGTTCAGCTGAGCAACCATTTTAGAAATCCTTTCTGGGCAAAATATCTCCATGAAGTCGTCCCGAACTGTGCCATCCAAGTATGGTGGAATGCGCGCATGCGCATTTGTACCCGTCAGAGTTTCATCTAGAGTCTGGCACGTATCGCTATCTGATGAGTCAACATGCTCTACATCTGGTATGTGAGCATGGCGTGACAAAGAGGATGTGGCAGGCCTCTTTCGTGTGGATTTGATCACAGGCATTTCATACACTGCTTGAGCCCCAATGCCTACAGATTGCTTGGCAATGAGGATGATGATAATGGTGATGGCGTTGGCTCCAAGACGGTCCCAGATGGCAGCCAAGACAGCCACAATGGTCCAAGATTGCGTACAGACGCCTCCAAGCCAGCCAAGATCCAGAAGAGCCCAAGATGGCCCCAAGATGTCTCCAGGACAGCCCAAGATGCACCCAACACTGTCCAAGATGGCCTCAAGATGGCAAAATACGGCCCACGAAGCCCCCAAGAGGACCTCCAGCAAGGCTTGAAGAGACCAAAATCCCCTGAGGGGGCCAGAACCAGACTGCTTGCCTACTGGTACTTATGTATCGGGCCTGGGCTGTCCCAGAGCGTTGCAGGCCCCTCTTGGGGCCCTTGTGGGGGGGGGAGGGACACAGGGTGGACGCCCCAAGGGACCTGCGTGGCTCCTGCCTCAACCACTGACGAGAATCTTTTGTTTTTTCGGACAATTTGTTTGCGCAGCCAGCCCCATCAAGCTGCGTCCAGCTGCCTACCAGTGCGCCCTATGCGCACTGCCCCAAAATCTAGCAAAATTCCTAGACCACCATGCGAGTACGCGCAAGAGGAGGAGGAGGAGGAGGAGGAGGAGGAGGAGAAGGAGGAGGTGGAGGAGGAGGAGTTGGAGGAGACAGAGGAGGAGGCAGAGGAGGAGCCAGATGAGGGGGAGGAGAGGGAAGGAAGAGGAGGAGGAAGAGGCTCAAGTCCAGACACCTTTGTTCTACAGCCCTCTTTGTTCTACTGTACAGGGCCAGGCGGTATCCAACATTGAGTGTGTATGCTATTGTACGCTGGGCGCACTCGTGCCATCGAGCTCAGAACGTCCACTCACCATCTGGCGAGACTGTAACGCCAGCCTTCTTGCGGCACGTCCCGCAGCCAGTTGGAACCCTACGGCATTTGGAGCACCCGAGCTGGTGGCGAATGCTCTCTGGCATGCCCTCCGGGAGCTGAAGCCTCTTGCGCTTGCGCCCGCCAGCAGCTGGCTGCGGAGGCAGCAGCTCCACCACTGCCTCAGCCTGCCCATTGTCAGGCTGGTCTGCCGCCGCTGCCGCATGCAGGGGAGGCTCCTCGGGCTCATCATCATCATCATCAGGCAACTCATCAGGCAACTCGACCTGCTCTGCGCGACCAGCAGGCCTCTTCCCAAGGATTTTTGTCCGCTTCGTGGCAGCGCGCTTCGGGGCAGCGCCGACTGAAATGTAATTGACCAGGGTGAAGCAGTTTTTGAGGTCGATCTTCTTCGGATCCTCCATCTTCTCCGGAGAGCTGAAGAAGGGCAGCGGGGTCAGATCATCCACAGTCATTGGCGTCTTCTGGAGGGTCTTGTTGGTCGCCACCCACTCGCGAAGGTAGGCAGCTGCACGTTTCAAGGCCCATGGCTCCTTCTCGATCTCGCGAGCCGTGGTCAGGTACTTCGTCCGATGCTGATCCGGGATCTCATTCCTGGGGTTGACTTCAGTAGGAGCAGCACTCCCCAGCTCGTGCAAGACCTTGTGCGGGATGAACAGGACCGGCATCTGGGAGAGCTGCGTATCGCGCATGAAAGCTTTGGTGAGCAATATTACGTCGTCCGGATGGTCCTCCACGTCGATGCCCCACCCACCTCTTGATACGATCAAGTCTGTGGCCCCGTCTTCGACTAAGTGGCTGCGCCTGACCAGCATGAATTGGTGTGGCGCCTTTGGCCCAGTATGCCCATGTAACTGCATGCCCAGGTTTTCCAATAACGATTTCCAATCCCGAGAGCCGTCAACAATGGTGCAAGATAGATTCGTCTCGAACGACTGCTCGATGGCAAGCTTGAAGTCCTGGATTGTCTCCATCACGCCAGTGCTGGCGAGGCGAGACCCGATAGTGCTGAACTTCTGGTCGAGCTGGAAGTGGGTGTGCCCCTTCATGAAATGAGACTGCGTGGCTGTGGTGAAAATCTTCTTCCCAACCAAGACGCCTAAGAACCCCAAGCCTGTTTTGTTTTTCTGCTCTCTGCCAGTGTTGTCTGCGTGCACGTGGAGGTGCATCGGAAGGGGTATGTTCTTGGCCTTGCACTCGTCGACAACGCGCTGAATTGTGATCGATAGTAGTTCGCAGTTGTTGCTAGCGTCCTTCTTCATGTCCTGATCCTCGAGGAAGTAGTGGTCGCTGCTGCCATTCACCAGAACGCCAACCATATGTACTTGCGGGCGCCATAACTTATCCCACAACTTGCTGCTGCAAAGGTTGCGGGGCAGCCTGAATTTGGCCTGGTCCATCCCATCGATGGCCAGGCTGAGGATCGAGGTGTGGTCTTTTTTCTTCTTTGAATCTTGTGCCAGCGCTGCCTCGCTTAATGATTCGATCCTGCTGTAGACAGTCCTGTCCTCGTACTGGCCCTTCAGGTGCTCGTAGTATTGGTGCATGATGTCGCGGCGCTGCTCGTCTGTCTCAGCCCGTTTGCGCGCCTCTGCAAAGCGCGCGCAGTCTTCGCACCGTGCATGTGGCGAGAGCTTGCGCATGCGAAGGTGCGTGTTATTCCAATTCTTGTTCCACACATTCAAGAAGGTCGAGTAGGAGCACGCCTCAATGCCTGCTCCAGCACACCAGCTTTCGAAATGATCAAAGAGCTCCGTTATAGTCGTGCTCACAAGAGTGCGAGCAGGAAGCGAGAGGATGTGGGCAGCCGGGTCCTCGATGAGACGGGTTACCTGGTTGTCAGAATCGAAATGAAAATCGTCGATGTTTGGGTTGACCTTGAGCTTCGCGATGTCGTCCTCTGGGTCGAGCTCTTCAGCGAACGGCTGGCCAAGTGTGCACCAAGTCCATAGAAAAAACTTATCTGCTGTGAGGCTCGCCGTATGATCCCTCTCGTGCGTGGTACCACCAGTTCGTCCATCGAGTGGCGGTCGCATGTGCCCATCCTTTTGGGCTTTGCGCATCGTGTCCAGCATCCACCGCGTGATGCCAAGGAGCTCGCAGAAGCATTCCTTGAGGACAGGCACACCCATGAGGCTCAGCCTGGTCTCGGTCTCGGTCTCCGCCTGCCCCCAGAGCAGATGCAAGATCCTCACCTTCTTCTCAGAGTACTTCATCGCAGCAAGTTTTTCTTTCTCGCTCTTGATCCTGGCCACTAAGGCTTCGTCCTCGTAGAACTTCTCACAGTGGCACATGGACCTTTGGCAGCCAGCAGCCGGAAGCGCATCGACAGAATCCTCATTGCCACTGGGAAGTGTCTCAGGGGCCTCTGAGTCCGGAAGGCTCTCCAGATCTGAACTCACAACCTCCATCACAGCTGTGGTACAGAGAATCACGCTCTCTGGTGGCAGGGGATCAAACTCTCTGGTGGATGAATCAAGTTTGAACCACAATGTATATGGACGACAGCAACCACAACAATAAGAGCTCTTTGGGGCTCTTGCCAACTGGACTTGCCTCAGGCTTGGAATCCCCCTGGGCCCATGGGGGCCCAAGCCCTCACTGGACCCTGCGGAAGCCCCTGGGGCCCTGAGAGGCCCAGGCCCTTCCCAAGAGGAGCCATCTGAGGCTCGGAACCCCGTGGGCCCATGGGGGGCCCTGGCCCTCGCAGGATCCCACAGAAGTCCCTGGGGCCCTGAGAGGCCCAGGCCCTCCCCAAGAGGAGCCATCTGAGGCTCAGAACCCCGTGGGCCCATGGGGGGCCCTTGCCCTCGCAGGACCCCACAGAAGCCCCTGGGGCCCTGAGAGGCCCAGGCTCTCCCCAAGAGGAGCCATCTGAGGCTCGGAACCCCGTGGGCCCATTGGAGGAGGAGAAAGAGGGGGGTGAGAGAGAGGAGGAGGAGGAGGGGGAGGAGGAGGAGGAGGAGGAGGAGGAGGAGGAGGAGGAGGAGGAGGAGGAGGAGGAGGAGGAGGAGGAGGAGGAGGGGGATGAGGAGGAGGAGGAGGAGGAGCACGAGGGGGAGAGGGAGAGAGAGGACGAGGAAGAGGAGGATGAGGAGGAAGAGGAAGGAATACTTCACCCTAGCAGCAAGAGGAGGAGGAGGAGGAGGTGCAAGAGGAGGAAGAGGAGAAGCAGGTTGGGGAGGAGAGGGAGGAAGAGGAGGAGCATGAGGAGGCGTCAACAGACTAGAGGAAGAAAAAGTGGAGGAGAAGGGGGAAAAGGATAACGATAATGAGCAGGAGGAGAATGAGCAGGAGGGGGAGGAGCAAGAGGAGGAGGAGGAGGAGGAGGAGGAGGAGGAGGAGGAGGAGGAGGAGGAAGTGTAGGATGAGGAGGGGAGCGTCCGCGAGAGAGCGAGAGAGAGAGAGAGAGCCTTGCCTTGGTCCAGCAAAGAGGAAGGTAGGAGGAGGAGGAGGAAGACGACAAGGAGATAAGGGGGAGGAGGATAAAAAAGGAACAGAAGAGGTAGACAAGGATGAGGAGGAGGAGGAGGAAAAGGAGGAAGAGGAGGAGGAAGAATATGAGGAGGAGGATGAGGAAGAAGAGGAGGAGGAGGAGGAGGAAGAGGAGGAGGAGGATACTGTACAGCTTGCACTAGGAGGAGGAGGGGTTTTGACACCAACGATTGGGCACTGTCTGGGCCTCGCACAGAGTGCAAAGTTGGAAAGTCATAATGTAAAGTTGGAATATCATAACTAAGCCTTCTGCCCTGATTATCGTGTCCCTCAGCTTCCGGAATTGCCTCTCTGGCATGCTCCAGCACATGAACAGCCAGATGGCCACGCAGTCTTCCTTGAACGCCCTGCACACCAGGATCACGGGGGAAACGGCGTCGGCCATCCAGGACGCCCTGAACCCGGTCCGGGACGAGATGGCGGATTTGAGGGAGCGCATGCAGCAGCTCGAGACCAGTTCGGGGACAGGATCTTCTGGCAAGCGCCACCTGCCGCTGGTGAGCGCGATGGATGCGTCGAACCGTCGCGTCGCCTTTCTCGGGTTCGACGGGGGCGACCTCGACGCGCGCGTCCTGGAGATCAACAGATATGTGGCGTCGCTGCAGAACGTGCCGAATGGCGTCGTCGGGCACTTCTTCTCCGGCCCGAAGTATAGCCAGAAAATAACCCGCGCTTCGTACCTCGAGTTCCGGTGTCCGCCGGAGGCGGCTGCTTTCTTGAACGTGGCCAAGACGCAGCGTTTCACCTTGTCGTCGAACGGTCGCGCCGTCACTGTCAAACCGGCAAAGTCCCAGGTCAATTTGGCCAGGGACTGGGCTCTCCGGAAGGCCGCCGAGATGATCAAGACGGAGTCTGGCCTGGACTGCCGCATCGATTGGCAGGCTCGCGTGGTCAAGCTCGGCGAGACGATCGCCTTTGAGCAAGGGCCGGCGACCTCCAAGGAATTTTTAAGGGCCAGTTCTCGCGCCTCCGGATCCCTTAGGGATGCGGGGGGCTAGCTCTGGCAGTGACGCATTGCTCGCATTGCCATCCGCCCGCGGTTTAGCCGTTAGTGAGCGGCCCCCGGGAACAAAACGTCTTCGCCGTCGCGGTCCTCGTTCGTGCGAGGCCGTGCTCCGGAGGCAGGGCCATTTACGCTGCAGTGTTTCACTCGATCCTCCTCCCTCCTCGGTTCCCCTTCCTCCCGTTCCTGCTCCTTCCTCCTTCTCGAATGCCGGTTGTAATTCCAATTGCAGTGCTCAGCGTAATTTGCATCATTACTTTAACAGTTCTTCGCAATATACGCCTCGAGACAGGGTGCCGCGTGAATCCGGCACCTCACTGTCTCTCGCAGTTGCTGATCTCACCATCCTCCATGTTAATATCCAGAGTCTGACCCCGAAGCACCAGGCTGAGCTCGAGGGTCGTCTTCGTCTTCTTCCGAATCTGCCCGTTTGCGTTTTCTTTACGGAAGCTTGGCTTGATTCCTCTTGTCCTGCTCCCTCCTTTTCTCTCTACACCGTTATTGCTAGGCGTGACAGGAATGGTCTCGGCGGTGGTGTGTTGATCTTTGTTCTCACTGCGTGTGCTCATTTGTTCTCGCCACTCGAGAACTCGATTTCTGCTGAGTTGATCTGGGTTTTGTTACATTCTGATTGTGGCCCTATCTTGATGTCTTGTCTCTATCGTCTTCCATGCCACGCCGAATTAGGCAGCCTTCGCTGTTTGACGGAAGAGTGGGCCTCGCACTCCCAGCACGCGGTTGGCTCTGTTTTTGTAGGTGATTTTAACGTGCATCAGAAAGATGGGCTGTATTATTCGACTCGTAACTCTCCGGGGGGCTCTTTTCTCAAAGCGTGGTGCATTTCCCATGGCTTCTTCGAGAGAGTCCGCAAACCCACCCGCCAGCGACACTTGTTAGATTTAGTTTTGACTGACTTGCCCGAGCAAGTGTCTGCAGATGTCTTGGCACAGATCGCAGACCACAGCGCGGTCTTAGCTCGCATAGTTCTGCCGCGTTTGGCGGTTGAGGATTTCTCTAGGACAGTTTGGAACTATAAGTTTGCCAACTGGGCTGCCATTCGGTCGTCCATTCGTCGTTCCGATTGGAGTTGGATCGACGCTTGCACGCCTAATGAAGCTGCTCACCGTCTTACTGTCTTCCTAGCTCAGCGTATGCACGATTTCATCCCAAAGCGCGTTTTGAACTTCTCTGCTTCGCATCCGTGGCTGGATTCTGCATCTCGCACTTGTCTCTGCGAAGGTGTCTGCAGCAGGGGCGCCCGAGTTTCCATTGGCAGTTGCGGGCTTGCAGCGATGGGCTGGTCTCCGCTTATAGCAGGTACGCGGTTCGCGTTCGTGCCAAATTGCGTTCATTGCGGAAGGGTTCTAAGCAGTGGTGGCATTTATCGCGCGAATTAGTCTCTCGACGTTGTCTTCCTACCTCCCCTCCTTTGAAAGATTCCGCTGGCCAGTGGGTCATTGGCGCTCCTGGCAAGGCTAACTTGTTTGCACTAGTCTTCTCATCGAAGTGGTTTTTGCCTGCGCCAGTGCGCAATGAGTTCAGTATGCTCCCTCCTTGTCGCCTCTCCGACTCTTTCGTGCCTCTCCGGGCGCGCTCGGCATTTCGAGTGTTATCATCTTTGCGCGTTGACAGCGGGGCCGGACCTGACCTCCTCCCTGCCAGGGTGTTGAAGATTTGCGCACGTGAGCTCACAATGCCATTTACCAAACTCGCGAGGGTCATTTTGAATCGTGGCGAGTGGCCTCATGTGTGGACTTCGCATTGGATCCACCCTCTACACACGAGGCATTCTAAGCACAATGCGGACCACTATCGTGGTATCCATCTTACCCCCCAACTTTCGAAAGCCATGGAACGATTTCTCGGCGAACAGTTTATGCCTAGAGCAGTGTCCGAAGGCTGTTTCGGCATGTTTCAATTTGCTTACGCGCCGGGCCGGGGCGCTAGAGACGCGTTGCTATGGCTTGTATTGTTTTCAATTCAGGCTTTCGGGGAGGGTGGCCGCGTTGGGCTGTGCTGTTTTGACGTTTCCGGAGCTTTCGATCGAGTGCGGGCCGAGCGCTTGTTACAGAAGTTGGCTGCCGCTCCGATTCCTCGCAGCATCTTCCGAGTAATTCAGAGTTGGCTTTAGCCTCGCTCTGCGAATGTCGTGGTCGGCGGAGCCCGCTCGGAACTGTTCGAAATGTTGAACATGGTGTTCCAGGGCGCGGTTTGGGGCCCTCCACTTTGGAACATTTTCTTCCGAGATGCGTCTGATGCAGTACGAGGGCTCAATTTTGAAGAAATTGTTTACGCTGACGATTTCAATGCGCTGAAAAAGTACGCTGCTTCCGTTAGTGCGGCGAGTATCCTCGCGAACCTCCGGGAGTGTCAATCCATTCTGCACACTTGGGGTCTCGCTAATTCAGTTGTTTTCGACGCTGGTAAGGAAAGCCACCACATTTTAAGTCATAGGCAGCCGTGCGGCGACTCATTTAAATACCTCGGTGTATCATTTGATTGCCAGCTTCGAATGCACGCAGCCATCGACGAATGTGCAGCGATTTGTCACACGCGTGTTATGTGTCTTTTGCGCACGAAGCGTTTCCATACACTCTCGGAAATGGTGCTCGTGTACAAAAGTCATGTGTTGTCATACGCTGAATACCGCACGCCTGCGATCGCGCACGCATCGTGTAGTGCACTCCATGTGCTAGATGCCGTTCAAGACAGGTTTCTGCGCGCCGTTGGCCTTTCGGCCGAGGACGCTTGCGAGCACTTCAACTTAGCACCGTTGAACACCCGGAAAGATATTGC